GGCTGATAAGAAGGATCCCCAAGGCAATGGCACGGTGGCTGGGTTCGAACTGCTGCTCCAAAAGCAACTGAAGGGCAAACAAATGCAGAAAGAAATGTCTGAATTTGTCCGAGAGAGGTAAAGACCCTGGATCTCCCACCCAGTTGCAGGGACTGGAGATGGGTGCCACTGTGAACCAGTGGCCTGAGGGGAGTCAAAGGGTACTTACTCAACACTGCATGACCAGTTTGGGGCTGGTTGGCACGAAGGAGAACATAGGTTGGGGTCCCAGATGCATGGCTTCTGGGGTAGATCTGATCAGAAGATTGTGTGGCTTTAGTCTGTGTAGTGTTTCTGAAAATTTGAACCAACATTTAAAAAATACTGGTAGATTTTTACATTAAAATCTGGATACCTAGCATCTCTTGAAAAAGCACAGGGTTGATGGGATTGCCTCTTCACCCCTCAGGCAGTAATTGCCTAGAGGTCAGCAGCAGTGCCCTGTGGAATGGGCATGTGTTCCCATTTTGCTGCAGTCTCCACCACTCCCTAGTGTCTCCCCCACAAACTTTATCTATCTGGTGCCGCAGTATGGCTGCACAATTCACGAGCCACTTGTCAAGCAGAAACGAACTTTATTTTTAGAACACACAAGTGGCACCACAGGAGCTCTTCAGGAATTCCCTCAGAGCCCAACTGCCACCACCCGCCCACACTCCTCCTGCTCTGGAGGCCGATTGGCTGGGTCGTGTGGGCGGAGCCAAAAGAGTCCCCCAATGAGCAGCTCTGTGGTCTGAAAGGGCAGGGAAACAGCCCAATAAGCATCACCACAGAGGAGCCAATCAGCTGGCAGCTGGAAATTTGCTGAGGCCACCGTGAGCCAATCAGCTGGAAGTTTGCCCCCTTCAGCTGTGGCTCTCAATAATCTGGTCCTCCTTTGAAGCATTGTTCCTCACCGTAATCCAAAAGAGGAGTATTACCTTTTGATTTATCTTCAAAACCAAAACTGATCAGGCCAAGGGATGTAGAACCTTCCTCTGCCTTCAGGGGAAGATACCTGTAGTTTGTCTAAAGAACTTGGGAACATTGATGAAGAAATAACAAATTCAATCCCATAGAAATAAGGAAAGCTGCAAAACAAAAGAGAAGTTCCTTCTCCTTCCCCTTGCTCCTCTCTCAAGAGTCTGATAACCCACGCTCACATATCCGCACACTTCCTCGTACCCACCATTCACACGAGTGTGCGCACACAGAGGCACAATTTTGCAAATAGCATTTCCAAGGCATATTGGAAATATTCATTGCAAATGGCGATATCTTTTAAAAATATTTCTTTTATTATAACAACCGTAATCAGGTAATAATGCTTTGGCATTTTAAAGCACCCTTCTCCTTAGGAGGCCCATTTTCTATTTGTATAATCAAATCTTTATTTTATGACCCATTAAACTGGTAGGAAATTGGAAGGCTGTATTGCTTAGGAGGGAGAAAAACAAAAATATAAAAACAGGCAAATAGAAAAGGGGTTGTCTAAGCCAAAGTCTGGACGGGCTCGTGGTTTATGCTCATAACAGTGTAATGTTAGCGAATGCATGGACTGTGCCGTTGCAGGTCATTCTGGTCTTCCCAGCTGAAATGCAGATTCCTCTAATTTTCTCAGTCCATCTTGGGGGGCTACAAAGGATGTGAGCCAGGAGAGGCCAGAGCCTAGGTGCAGAGGTGGAGTATGCCTGGCTAGGGACCGGGTCCCTGGTTTGCTGTGGCCTCCACTAAAGAAAGCAGGACAGGAGATGGTGGCGATGCGGGCTGGTTTGGGAGGTGAGGCTCAGGAGACAGATGGCAGGTGCACCTTCTCTGCCCTGGCCTGTCCTTGGCACTGTGACATGCTTGGATCTGCTTTCAAGAGGCCTTGGCCACAGTCTGGAGGTCCAGGTTGGCAGTCTGTGTAATCCTGGGAGGGCTGGAGATGAAGGCAGAGGGAATGGAGAGGGAGCAACAGAACTGAGAGAGAAACCAGGGTTTAGCTCTGGGAGACTGAGAGACTGGCTAGAGGTATAGAAGAGAGCCAAGCAGAGCAAGAAGGAATGAGGATGAGTCCCTGTGCCAAACTGTGTGACCAATAAAATGCTGCTGCCGCATGGTCAGCCACCCTCTCTGCACCTGAGTGGTCAGGAAACAAAACACTGCAGCCCCTTGGGTTTTCTGTGTACAGCATGGTGGCCCAGGGGCTCTCTGGGGTCCCATCCCTCTGGCCAGCTCCGGTTGTCATAACATAGCTCTTCTGCCTCCCACGATGGCCCCAGGGAGCGCTCAGGTGGTGAGCAACGCCTTTGACAACACACTTAACACAGACATGCCCCATACACAGAACACTCCCTGGAGAGTCACCTTGCAAGTGTGTGAAGGGCCTACCTACTGGAAGCCCTGCGCAGGGGAGCAGAATCAGGCTGCGGCCCTGGACATTGACCGGTTTCCGTGGAAATACTCTTGCCCTTGACAGTGCTTTGTAGTTAGAGGCATTGGGTGGGAGAAGGTAGAGATGCTCTATTTTTGCTTCGAAGAGGCTGAGGTCATCTGGGAGGGTCTAAAAATCAGTCCAGGCTTGAAGGCAGAAGGAGACACATGTGCCATCCATCCCTGGGGTCTGTCGTAAGTAGCATTCATTCAGGTAAGGGCACCTGTGTGTCCAGGCTTTTGCCCAGAGCTGTGCAAATGACAGTGATCATCTTCATAAGCCCCAGGAGGCAGGCGGAAATGTCCCGCTGTGCAGTTGGAGAGACAGAGGTTCAAACGGTGTCATGCATTTATTCAATAAATAATGAGAGCCACACACTGTCAGAGCTTACGGTCTGTCGTGACCCGGTGGATCCTTTACACAGCTGCTGCGTGACAAGGAGCAGCTCCGTTCCGCCATCCCGCACTGGAGAGCTGATGTATTGGGTTTTCTCCTTTGGCAGGATAAAGATTGAAGAGGAATATGCAAAGAACTTGGCTAAGCTCTCTCAGAACTCCTTGGCTGCACAGGAGGAAGGGTGAGTTGGGAGGAGATTGATGGGACTGGGGAGGATGAAGGGATCTTGAAGACCCTTCCTCATCCATCACTGGGAACAGTGTGCTTTGGATGGGGAAGGAAGGTCTCCATAAGCCTAGGTCAAGCCGTGCTCAAGTTGGTGGCTCGTAGCTCAAGGTATGTCCTCATGACTGAAGGTGTGCACCTGTAGCTCAGATGGGGCACCATAACTCAGAGTAGGCACCCATGGCTTGAGATGGGTGCTCATGACTCAAGCTGGGTACTTGTTATTTGAGATGGGTGCTAATAGCTCAAGGTGGCTGCTCAGGTTTTATTGTGGATGCTTGTAGTTCAAGGTGTCCACCTGTGGCTTAGGAAGGATGCTTTTAGTTCAAATTGAGCATCCTGAGCCCAACCAAGGTGGGTACCTATGACTCAAAGTGAGGATGTCCATGTTATATGTGGGGACGTCTATGTTGTCTTCTCTCTAGTGACCCAGGGCCCTCCTGCCAGGTGCTGGAGCATGTCAGAATCTCCCCTGCCCTTTCCCCTGTAGCTGGGCAACAGCCTTAGATGCCCACCTCCAGATCCCCTTCTTTTGAGGGCAGGATGGGAGGAAACTGGGCATGAGAGGATTTCATGCCTGGCTCCTTGGAGCTCTCTCCCCGTGGACCTGAGGCCCAGGCTTCCCTTCCTGCTCTCTCTGGGACCCTCCCAACTTCCATGGGTGAGACCAACCCTCAGCCCAGCCTTCTCTGCTCTGTTAACGGAGTCTGAGCCCTCATGCATCACTGGCAGCATGCCAAATGACAGTCCCTCTGGACAGCAGACTGGCAGTTCCTCAAAAAAGCTAAGCATAGAATTACTCCATCCCCAGCAATTCCATCCTAGCTTTATACCCAAAAGAACTGAAAATTCAAGCAAGCATTTACAGAGAAGCACTGTTCACAATGGCCAAAAGGTAGAAACAACCCAGAGTCCAGCAAGGGATGAATGAGTCCAGTTAAATAGTAAGTTAAATAGTTAAATAGTAAGTTAAATAGTTAAATAGTAAGCACCATGCCTAGCCATGGATATCCAATGGAGTATTATTCATCCATAAAAAGGAATAGAATTCTGAGACGTGCTACTATGTTTATGAAGCTCAAAAACATTATGCTAAATGATAGGAGCCAGACACATCATGAGGTCCTAGAGCATATGATTCCATTTATACGGAACATCCAGAGTAGACAAATCCATATGGCCAGCAAGCAGATTAGTGGTTACCATGGCACGTGGGGAGCGGGGCACGGGAGAAACTGCTCCATTAGAAGAGCTTTCGTCTTAGGGAATTTGTCTGATGAATCTGGAGTCCCATCTAGGAACACTCTTACGGGATCCGGCCCCCACCCGTTAGCCTCATAGAGCCCTTCACTACTTCACTACTTCCCTAAAGGCCCTGTACCCAAATAGCAGCCTCATCAGGAATTAGGGCTTAGCAAGTGGAGGGGCCCAAATTCTTACTCTGTGACTGGTGATGAAAATATATTGGTCACACAACATTGGGAACATGCCAAACACCAGATCATTCACATTAAGTGGGTTCGTTTCGTGTTCCATGATTTTTATCTCAATGAAAAATAATAATAATGAAGACTCTCGGGAGGTAAGAATTGAAGGGGGGTCCCCAGAAGGTCCCCTCTCTGTTCTGACCTTCCTGCACAAGTCTCTCTGAAGTCCTCCCACAAGGGAAGTGAAGCGGCCCCCCCACTCCCCCCACCCCCAAGGAAGCCATCCTGTCGCGGGATGGTTGTGCTTGTGGGAGAGCTGTGATCTTCAACAAGTCCAAGTCTGCCTTTTGTGGCCTGAAATCCTGCAGGGGACAGAGTTTGCCAAATCAATGTGGCTTTGATTAAGGCCTCCGCATGGGCTGACTGCACAGCCAAACCACCTCCTGGGAATGGTTTTCACCAACCCGGCCAGCCACACACCACAGGGCGGCCCCACAGACCACTAAGTGGGGTTCATTATTTCCTGGCCCCTCTGCTCCATGCTGAAGGGGACATGCAGGCAAAGTAGCCCCTGCTGCCTGGGAAGGGACAAGACTCTCCGTGCCCTGCAACCACTGTGCTGCTTCGGAGTCTTCCGGCTTCCCCCTCCCGGGCCTGGGCTGCTGCCAGGGACACTGTGTCCTGCCAGCACACCCAGCATATGCTCCTAAACTACACGCCAGGCCTGCGTCGCCATGCTGCACACACGTGAGATGAACACATGCATACAAGCACCAGCCCATGAGCCTGTACGTGTGCACATTCCCCGTCACTGTTGCACCTGGTAACCCCATGCACACACTGCCCCCAGCAGGCACTTAGGTGTGCACATGTGAACCCCCTCCACACACACACACACACGTGTGCAAAATGCTTTTATGCATTTATACACAGATCTGGGTGTTGAACCCAGCCCACCTTGGAAACCCTCCAAGTGAAAAACGAGGCTGAGAAATTGGGTGCCGTCTAGGAAGCTGCGGGAGGGGGGGGCAGGTTCCTAGAGAGGCTTGTGCTGCAGGAGCGCCGTGTTCAGATTGGTTTTCTGAGGACACGTGCGTGCTGGTGAATAAACAGAATTCAATGTATTCTGCCCTCCGTTTTCCTCTCCTGGGCAGAAAGGAAATGGGATTTGGGTCTCTCCTGGCTGACAGTTGTGACAGGGTCACGTTGCATTTTTGATTTGGCGTGCCCCAAACCATATTTTGGGACGGAACGATGTCTATTTGTTTTTTTAAATGAGAGAATTTCTAAGTGGTTTTTGTTCTAAAATTTCTAATGATTTTAATTTTGATTGACATGTTAAAGGTACATGTTAGCAGAGCTCAGGATGATATTTCCTCACACTTGGAAGTGGCTCTGAGGGGCTAGGAGTGCCAGGAAGTGGGGCGCCCTGTGTGGGGGCTACATTGGCTCAGATGGGCTTTGGTGTACTGTCCTTCCACTTTCAAATGCCTAGTCTGGAGGTGGGGCCATTGTCCTGGGTGGAGACTTTGCTTGTTCATTTTCTCCCAGTAGCCCTAAGCTAACATTCTCAGGTCACCATACATGTCCCTGGCCAGACCCTTACCGTGCAGCAAATTTCAGCTCTATAGGAAAAACTCTGGACATCTCCCAGGGCCTTTCTGTGGCTCTCATTTGTACCTCCCACCGGCTGCTCTGTGTCAATCAGCTATTAGGGGCAAAAACCACTCACCTCTCTTTAACCACGGTCCCACTGGTCCTAGGACAGCCTGTGTAAGCCATGTGTCACCTTGGCTTTCACTTTTAAAGCTAGAATCCGACTTGAGATCCTTCATGTGTATAGCATGAAGGAAGGGTCAAAGTTCCTTTTGTCCCTGTGGAAATACAGCTGTCTCTGCACCATCTGTTCAGTTCATCCAAAGGCTCGGGGTGTGGCTCCGCGTGGTGGCGCACTTGGCCAGCATGCACGTGGCCATAGGTTCTGTCCTCGGCACCGAAAAACGGGGAAAGTCCATCAGTACGAATCCATTCACGAGGGCACAGCCCTTGTGGCCTGATCAATGTCTCAAAGTTCCCATCTCTTTAACACTGTCACATGGGGATTAAGTTTGCCTCGCACATTTGGGGGGACACGATTGCTTCTACCCCTCCCTGGCCCTGGACCTCCTGCCCACCTATAGGATCAGATGGGATGCCTAGGCCACCTACAGTGTCCCCCCCCCAACCACCACCGCCTATGGCCTTGACCAGCTTCCTGGAGCTCGGGCAAAGACAAATGTCCACAGCTGGAATTGTCTCAGACTCACTCCAGTTCCGCTCTGTGGGGCTCCCCAGGGGACCTTTCTCTGCTGCTCAGACTCTTCGATAAAAATCAGTGTCATTTCCCACAGACAGCTCCCTCGACCTAAGTGTGTGCTCCCACCACTCTGGACCCTGGCTCAGAGGGATCCTTCTGCTCCGTTGGGTCATTCTTAGCTGCCGCTTGGCTGCTTGGCTGGGAACCCAGAAGTGTCGCAGTGATCTGTCTTTTAATCAGCTTTTCCCACTCGAGTTGAATGAATTCTCTGGGGGAAGTGGCTTTTTGATAAAATGAAGCCAACTGAACTTTCAGCCTGGATTGACTGGCTGGGTTGAAGAGGTCGGGAGCCAGGAGGCAGGGGATCATATGGAATGGTCAGTGAGGTTGAGGAGTTCCGCATAATGAAAGCTGTCGTGTCCCTTTGAAAGTCTCTGGGATCTCCGGAGATTTCATCTATTGGAAGCATCTCTCTGGAGTGGAGAGGGGATTTCACTAAGAGGACTTGGCCATTCTCTTGTAAGCTATGGGCAGCAGTCAGGCACATAACCCAGAAGCCCAGAAGTTGTGCCAGAGAGCCACACTCCTGAGCATGTACCTATCATGTCCCTAGACCCAAATGGTCCATCTGTGCCTCTCCTGGAAGCCAAGCAGCTGCAAAGTGGCTTGTAAGCAGGTTGCACAGTACCTTCCGTTCCAGAGGAATTTTTCCCTGAAAATGAATCTGTGTCTACCTTCCTTGAATTACCAGCAGACATTTGTACACCTCACTCACAAACCAGGGGTGGTGATGTCAAGACACTGGGGACTGTAAGCTAGCTCACCCTGGCTTTGCTGGTTCAATCTGGCGCTCTAGATAGATTGTGCCTGGCCTCTGCCTCCTCCAGATCCAAAGTCTTAGAATGGTATATGCCTTCCCAAGTTGTAGGCTTGAGATCTTCTTAGGATGGGTTGGGGCTTTGGACTTGAGGTTGGTACAGCCCTTTCTGGGGTCCCCCAAGTCTAATAATGTCCTACCCATTGCAGCTCCTTGGGAGAAGCCTGGGCCCAGGTGAAGAAGAGTCTGGCAGATGAAGCAGAGGTTCATCTCAAGTTCTCCGCCAAGGTAAGCTCCTCCCTGCAGCTTAGACCTGGGCTGGTCTTACACAGTGGTACCCTGATACCTGCTTAGCAACCGTCTCTCCAGATTGTAGTGTTTGCCCGATTCCTATGGTGTAAATCTCAAGCTACCACATTTAAGTCGCTGAAGACAGAGTCGGAAAAGGTGCACACTAGACTAGGGCATCATTAAACGGTGTTTTCATGATGCAGACAAGTAACATCAATAACCAGCAGTCTGCACCCAGGGCTTGGATAATAAATAGTACAACATGAGTAGCAGATAGTAATTGCTATTTATGACCTTGGTTTTTAAAATAGTGTAAATTCACATAATTTCATTTGTAATAATGGCTATGGTTCATGGTCAGCTCAAGAAAACTCCTGAAAAGTTATCATTCTGGTCTTGGTAGCTACTTGGTGCTCTGTGTACATCTGTGGGAGTCAGAGACACCCTCCAGTTTCTAAAGTAGACCCCTGAGTGATGTCACCCGGTCTCTCTTTGCCAGACTTTCAGAGAAATGGACTGCCATGTTCTGTATCTTCTTGTTGTCTGGAAATACTAGAGTGTGCCCAAGGGAGAAAACTATTTGCTTTTATTTGTTGCTGTAAAATTTCAGAATGGGTAAATGACCTTCCTTTCATTTGGTTCTAAAGATACTAAACACCAGGACTTTTTTGAGGACAGGGATGTTTATGTCCTTCTCATTCCACTCTCAGGGATCAGGATAGCCCACAGTAGGTGCTTCACAAATATTTTCTGAAGTCACGAATGCGTGGAGCCTTCTGAGAGTCTCTTCCTCACCCCATCTTTTCAGATCTGTTTGTCTCAAGATTTCTCAGTGACCCTGCCATCTCTACTCCCTGGCTCATACCTCCAATATTATTCTTCTGGCTCTCAGCTACTTTTTAAGTAAAACATAAACTAAGTGTCTCATGGAGATAACTCATACTAAAGTGTGCATGACTGATGGAGATACCCATTAGCATGCCTGCCTTCTAAAGAGAGACCCTCAAGAGGGGCACTATCCTGGTGACTCTGGCTTCCTTCTGTCATCCCACCATCACCAGTCATATATAGCAGCCCAAGGGGACATTCCAGTAGAGGGCTTGGATTCTGTGAGCCCCTACCCCTGCCCGATATTTAAATACTTTCCTCCTTATATGATGGTGATATTGGTGACATTCCTCAAAGACGTGGCTCTTCCTGGGGCTCACGTTCAGCACTCACTGGTCCTCTTACTTTGCTAGCTCTATTCTCACTTGCAGTTGCAATTTTCTGCCCTGGGGACTGAATGACATGTACTCTTTCTTGGAGCACAGGAATATGTCCGTATGCCCAGGTCTCCCCTCTGTCACCCATCATGGTCCTCTGCACACAGAATGAATGACTCTAAGAACTGAGACCATAAGAGCTTTGTAGGAAAGCTGGGCTGGGTTGGCAGCTCCTTGCTTCTAAAAGGTGTGAGCGCCCAGGATTTGAGCTGACACCTAGCGGGACGTGCAAGTTCACAGCTAATGAAAGCAGAGCTCAGGTTAGGTCAAGCACTTCCTGGGAAGATTGCTGCAATCTGTGCTAGAGAAGGTAGCTCCATGGGTTGGTGTCTTTGGTGTGCTGTATACAAAACAGTGAGTTTTTTTAAGCGGCAGCTCCAACCCCTAAGGTGTCCCTTCTTCTGTCTTGGCCCCTAACCTCCACTGACTGCTGAGATGAATGCTGGGGTAGGGGCTGGGGCTGCCACTCTTCTGGCTTGGGGGCAGGGCTTTGGCTATGGGGCGGGGCCAGGAGCAGGGCTGTGCATGACTGGGAGCTTCAGTTTGCTTGTTGGATCCCCAAGATTCTTAGTGGCATTTACTCTCCATCAGAGGGACCTCTGACTCTTTATTGTTTAGCAGTTGACACCTTCCCATGAAGTGGTAGGTGGTGACAGGGTACTGGATATCATCCATCCCTCTCTGTCTTATCAACCACCATACAAAATAGCCTCACCACCTCACAACTGAGCAGGGCAGAGAGGACTCATAGCCCATGGTCACGCCTCCAAGTGGGACCTAACTATCGAGGGAGCCAATGGGAAACTAAATCCCCATTTTGCTTTGGGACACACCCTGTCTTCAGTAAGACCCTGGGGCTGGGGTGTGGCTCTGTGGCAGAGCTCATGTCCAGCAGCTGGGGAAGGCCCTGGGTTCCTCAAGGAGCACTCTGCCCTCCCCCAGGAGTGACAGCAACGAGGTGCGAACCATCCCTCCAAACGCTCAGAACATTTTAAGTCGGTTTTCATGAAGCAGCACAAATGTCACCATGCAGCGGACCACAGCAATATGACAAATGTTCCACACAAAACAGACTTTGCCACGAGAGCTTCTGCTACTTCTAGCCTGTCCATCCATCCGTCTGTGTTGGTGGCCTTAGAGCATCAAAGTAGCCTCCTAGTGGTCTCACGGCAATTTCTTGAGAAAGGGGCCCCAAGGATTTGTGTGTCTGCCACGGATAATGTGGCTTCCTACGCGCAAAACCCATTTTCATGTCTGCTCTAAAAGGTGCCTGGAAATTTTGCTCTGAATAGTCTGTGTTGGGGTAAAAGCTCTTTAAAAAATGCAGTTTTGTCATAGCAATCTTTCCGGCTTCTCTCGTCAACCCGCTCAGACCATTGCTAATAGCAACAGGTCACTAAAGAATCGGTATTGCCACGGGCTCCTGCCCAAGAAGGGAGAAAAGAGAAAATTCCTTTTGACGGGAGAAAAATCTAATCATGCAGGCGAAGCCTTGCATTCGGCAGAAGATTTCTGGGGACAAGGGAAGCAGGATAATGAGTTTTAGCTCAGAGCTGTCCCTAGCAAGCTTTGTGACGTCGGTCAAGACACTCGGCATCCTTAGGGTTTCTTTTCTTCCTGTGCAAAACGAAGAGTTTGAATCAGATCAGCCACTGTGACCCCCGGGAATGCCCTTCACCTGGTTACTGGGTATGCACAGGTCTACATGCAGGTACCCACTCCCATTTCCACTCAGGTAGCCACACATGCATGTGGCCAAGATGGATGTTTCACAGGACTATTAAACCCTTCTACCTAAAATGCACTCAGCTATTTTCTATCCAAGTCTGGTCTGTTCTCACCAAAACATCTGCTCCTGACCCAGTAAATTGATTTCAACTCTTGGCCACCCATCATTTGAAAAATTCTAAGCTGAATAGTCTTAAGATGAAATTGCTTCCGTCGTCGTATTTCTCTCATTCTCTTCAATTGTACGAGGTGAAAAGAAGTATCAAAGTCAGCCGAGCTTTGGAGAGGGGAGGAATCCCCTCCGGTGGCCTCGCCCATCCCATATAGGAGAGGCCAACCCATGCATTCATGGGGACACTCTTTCAGGAAAAGCTAAATATGAGTATTAAAAGATACCAAGCCATCTTGTTTAAAGAAAATAAATTATGTCTTTAAAAAGAACCTTGTATAGATAGAGAGTTGGAGAATCCATGGGTCCTCACTTGCACAGTTGAATCACTTCAGACAACTAGTAGCTTTATTTCCTGTTTGTTGTTTGGAGTTTGGGGAAAGACTTGGAGGTACTGGCAGGTTTGGGGCCCTTCCCCAGACCACACAACTGGGGCTGGACCCGTGAGTCTTGAATGTTAAAGAGCTCCTTCAGGTCACTCCCAGGCACAGGAAAGTCTGGCAGTCACTTGTTTTCCAAGTCCTCGGAAAGATACCCCAGAGTTTTTGAGTCTACCCTGATAGACCCCACTCAGCTGGTTCCATGGCAACTGAGTTATGGACCATCTCGCCTGATCTGTGTATGTGATTGTCTCCGTTTTCTTTGTCTATAACTAAATACCAGAGACTGGGTACATTATGAAGAACACAGGTTTATTTTGATCAAAGGTCTGGAGGCTGAGAAGCCCAAGATTCAGAGGGCTTTCGTGCTGTGTTGTAACAGTAGAGGGCATCATCCCACAACAAGACAGCAAGCATGTGTCCTTGTGTCCTTTCAGATCTGTCCTTACCAAGCCACCAGGGCCATCCTGACGATCTCCCTCATGGCCTCGTGTATTCCTAACTACCTCCCAGAAGCCCCCTCCAGATACCATCTTGTGAATTGGAGGATTAAGCTTCCAGCATCTGGAATTTGGGGAACACATTTAAACCAGAGCAATAGGGCAATAGGGGAAGGGATTCATCTCTTCTTGTGCGTTCTTGTCGCCTCCTAATAAAATTGCCACCAGGTGGTGATGTTTTCCTGGAGGAGGAAAGTTTCAAGGGCTCAAAAGAATAAATAACAGGAGACACTCACAATTGGGATCAGGAGGAGGAGCATGGTACTTGGGGGGCTGGCTCTCTGTTAGTCTTTGAAGGTCATCCAACAGGAAGACTGTCTGCTCACCACCTAGGCTGTCCCTGGCTCTGAATTCCTCGAGGTTTGGACCACATCCAGATCACCTTTGTATTCCAGGCACACGGCACCTAGCAGATGTTGGATGAATAGAAAAGATCCGAGATCGCCTAATTGAACAGCACCCTCTCGCAGTTATTTATTGAGCTGCCTAGCAGTCACTGTGCTAAAGTTTTTGGGGACACAGATGGATGACGTGGTTTCTGTCCCCAGAAAGCTCCCGGTTTGGAAAGGGACACCCAAGCAAAGCTGTACCAGTTGCTGTGGCACACAAGCAAGTGTGGGAGACGGTGCACGTGTGAATCAACTCCATTAAGCTACGTCACCGTGTATACTTAGAGTTGGGAAGTTTCCGTCTGTAACGGTGGTGTCTCAGAGGTTGTTACTGTGATGTCACAGCCGTCTTAGTGTAAGTGTACTGTGTGATGGTGAAGGAACAACAGAATCTAACAACGTATCTCAGAGTCTGTCCCCATCCTTAAGTGACACACCACTTACGTACCTATGACATATTTCAAAACCTGTTGTGCATGATCAGTATACACAGTAAAAAAGTAACTTTGAATGAAAAGTTTTTTAAAAAGTAAAGATGTGAAAACTTGGAGGAGGAAGGAGTTAGTTGGTGGGGGAATCCGAAGGTTCCGGTCACCCACTCAGAGCTACAGTTGCTGCACCTGGTGAGCCACCACTCACCTCTAGCCTTCCAGTCCCCCCAGGCTGTTGCCCCAGCCCCACTCTTTCACTTGCTGGGGAAAGAGGAAGAAGGGTCCCCACCAACTGCAGCTAATGCCCTGGGTCCTGTGTCCTCTCCACCCTCCTCCACAGCTTCACAGCGAGGTCGAGAAGCCCCTAATGAACTTTCGTGAGAACTTCAAGAAAGACATGAAAAAGTGTGACCACCATATCGCTGACCTCCGCAAGCAGCTCGCCAGCCGCTATGCGTCGGTGGAGAAGGTGAGAGGCCAGGACGCTGGGGTAGGAATGGGGGGAAGGCGGGAGCTGCTACAATAGGGTGGGCCAGGAAACCAGCTGTGACTCTGGGTGCCACAACAGGGGCCCTGGTCCCCAGATGAGGGAATCCCAGCCTCATGGCCCACCTGAGAGCCCCACCCATCCAGAGGGCAGGCAGGAGACACTTCCCTGTGGACCTCAGATGACTGTTCCCAGGGCTAATGGGACACCAAGCCTGATGTGCTGCTATGTGTGGTCCCTGTGTCTGGGACTCTCCTACAGATTTTCTCTTGGTTGATCATCTGCTTCTAGAGGTCCCATAGCTCATCTTTCTACAGTTAGTCACATCTTGGGCAGGACTACTGGTGGCAGCCCTGGACTAAGCCCAGGCCCTAGAGAGCAGTCACCCGACACCCAGCCAGCTGTCTCCACTGACGGGCAGAGAGTGAGCCACCACAAGGAACCAGGAGGAGGGCGGGCGGGTGCTATGAGGGGTACAGGGGGCTCGAGGCTCTGGAATGCCATGCCTAGTGTCACCAGCAGGCATGAGGGGAGCTGGTCTGTGGGCTCAGTCCTCACCAGTTAGCTGGGTAGCAGCACTGGGACTGTCTGGCCCCTTGGGGCCACTGTGGCATCATCCATGCAAACAGAAAATGAAGGACTTGAGCCAAAAAAAGGGAGGCTGGGCCTCGTGGGCTCTGAGCCCCCCACCCCCAGGCTGCAAGCTTTATAACAGCTTCTCTGTTTGATGTCATTGGACCCCAGGCCCGGAAAGCCCTCACAGAGCGGCAGAGAGACCTGGAGATGAAGACTCAGCAGCTGGAGATCAAGCTGAGCAACAAGACAGAGGAGGACATCAAGAAGGCACGGAGAAAGTCCACACAGGCTGGTGAGCCTCTGAGCCGCCCACCCGGGCTGGTCACCCTAACTAGCACACAGGAGAGGACATGCCCAGCACCTCTACCCAGCATCCAGGGATTGGAGGGAAGCAGGCCAGGCTGTTCCCAGGCCATGGTAGGGGGGTTAGACGACTCATGGTCTCTCCAGCAATGCCTTTTTCTGACCTAAGTTCTACATTTCTGACCAGGAAGTCGATAAATTCTTCTTTGTGCCAAGAGCTCCAGGGTCCAGTCCCTGATTAAAGCCCACAGAAGTTCAAATCTTTATTCACCCATATAAGCTGCACCTTCTCCCCAGGGAGTGCTACCCCGGAGGGTTGAGATATAGCAGTGGCCCCTGCTTGCATTTTGTTTAAATAACCACCAGATTTCAGGCTCTACCCCCTTCCCCCAGTGTGCTGGTGTCTGCTGCCACCTAGTGGTCAAAGTTAGCCAATACACAAGGAGGAAGGGAAAGGATGATTAGAAAATGTTTAAAAACAAAGTAACTGTTTCTAAAAGAAATCAAGTTTCGCAACAGGCAGGAGCAATGCATACTGCCTCTGGAATTAATCTGTGTGCTGTGAAATTATGGCCTGAATGATCTTTAGGTCCCTTTCATCTCAACTTCTGGTGAAGCTGTTACAATTGATTTCATTATGAAACGAAGCAACCGCCTTCCAGACATTTTGTAATAAAGTAGGGCAGAAATAACGGGAGCCCAAACTAATGTGGCATAAACATAATATTTAATATACAGATTCTTATAATGCATCACAATAAATTACTAGATCCAGAAGCATTGTTATAAATTTCTAATATATTTATTGGGAGTGGAGCCCAGAGAGGAAAAAGTTTGTACATAAATTAGTTTAATTTATTAAAAATAAAATTAATACTGCAAAACCGTATATGTCAAAATAATCAGCATATGAGAGTATAAAATGTTAGTTGCCAAAAATAATCACCATCAATACTTCAGGGTGCTTTCACTTTTTAAATATTCAACTGTATATAAATTGGATTGTATTATACTCTGTATTCTGAACTCTGAAGTTAATACATCTTAGAAGTAGCCCATTTCATTTCCTCTAAATCTATTTATGCATCCATCTATGCATTTCAGATTTTTAAACAATTGCCCAATGTCTGACTATATGATTGTATCTGAATTGATTTCATCATTCCCCTAATTTGTTTTTTATTTGTTTATTTATTTACATATAAGGCAGCAGAATGCATTACAATTCATATTATACATACAGAGCACATTGTTTTCATATCTCTGGTTGTATATAAAGTGTATTCACTGCAACTCATGTCTTCATACATGTACTTTGGATAATAATGTTCATCACATTCCACCATCATTTCTAACCCCCTATCCCCTACTTTCCCCCTCCCACCCCTCTGCCCTATCTAGAGTTCATCTATTCCTCCCATGCTCCCCCCTCCCTACCCCACTATGAGTCAGCCTCTTTATATCAGAGAAAACATTCAGCATTTGGTTTTTTGGGGGGGATTGGCTAACTTCACTTAGCATTATCTTCTCCAATGCCATCCATCTACCTGCAAATGCCATGATTTTAATCAGAATTGTAAATTTGTTTATGTGTAAGACCAGGTCTGCATATAGAGAGAATTTTGATGTTGGGTTGAAGGTTTTTCTTTATTTCAATGAATATTTCCAAATTGCTGACCAGAGAAGGTACC